TCTGACTGAGGTCGCCAACAGGGAATCTTCCAGAAGGCTGGACATGTACAGCTCCAGGTCCCCAGGGCAGCCCCCAGGATGGCCTGGCCTGGGGTAAGGGGTGCCCCAGCCCCTCTCAGGAGCCCTGCGGGGCCTCGGTTTTCTAGAGCAGTGTTGTGAGGTGCTGACATGGGGGCTCAGGGACGGTTCCTTCCTGTCATTGGGCCGGTCCATGCCAGTCAGTCCCCAGGGAGGCCATGGCAAGCCACCCGCCCTGTCTGCAGAAAGCATCATAACCCAAGCAAAGAAAGAAAAGGGGGGTGGAGAGTGTGTGAAGAGGGTGTGTGCCACCCTGTCACCCTGGAACATCACAGGTGACCTCTGACCTTTATGGAGGTCAGTCAAGGCTGGTGGTCAGGGCAGGCCAGCCTGGGGACAATGGCCAGGGGCCTCCTGTAGAACTTTCGACTGGGGACGGTACAGAGTCACGTCATAAATAGCCACCGGTCTGGGGGGGCAGCGCCCTGCGTCCCGGCTCCCCTGCTGTGCCTGGGAGTGGGGGTCTGGGGCAGATCTTCTGCCCTGCCAGCCCTTTCTCCGCGCGGGAGTGAGTTGTTAATGACCGGTCTTGTCACTCACTCCAGGACAGCTGTACTCAGCTGGGGAGGATCCCGACTCCTCACAGCTCAGGACACTGGGCACAGAGGGGCTGTCTCCCCTCCATGCCACAGCACCCTGGCTGAGCCGGCTCAACCGCGGTGGGGAGGAGGCCACGGGGTGGGGGTCTGCCAGGAGGCACAGGGCGGGAGCGGCTCCCAGGGACCTGTCTGGGGAAAGTGCAGCGTCTGAGTGGGTGGGACACTGACGTGGACTCCATGACCGCAGGGGGGCCCTCCGGCAAGGTCCCTGGCCCCCACGCCCTGTTAATGCACGATCTCCTGCTTGGGGGTCGGGGGGAGTGTGACCCCTTCCTAACACTGGGTGATCCACGTCCACCAAATTAAACATTTTAAAGCGCACAGCGTGTAGTCATCATTACCTCAAAAGGAAACCCAGGCACATTACCGGCCATCACCACCCCCGCCGCCCCTCACCCCAGGCGCTAATCTGCTCTCAGTCTCTGAATTTGCCCGTTCCTGACATTTTATATGCAGTGAATTGCTTAGGAGGTGATCTTTGGTGTCCGGGTTCTTCCGCTCAGCACTGTTTCCAAGGTTCGCCGGGTGCCCGCGAGTGTGTGCGGCTCGGGGCTGAGCGACACCCCGCGCTGGATGGACCACGCCTCTCTAGCCTCTACTTACTCCGGGGCACGGGCAGGCCCCACCTTTTGGCTATTGAGGACGGGGCTGCTGTGAGCAGTGGATGGGCCCTGAGCCTGTCTTCCATTCGTTTGGGTGTACTCCTCAGAGCGGGAGAGCTGGACCCGCCTCACCCTAGCTCCGCAGGTGTCGGCCAGGTGCTTCCCCTAACAGGTGACCTCCAGCAACTTGGCTGAGCAGTTCACCTGAGAGTCTCTCGGGCTCCTGTGGAAGTGAGGGCTTGAGGGCTGTGTATGCATCTGGGGGCCTGTGGCCGCCCCTCCCGGGGGACCCCCACTCCCACTGGGACACATCAGCACAGGCCGGCGCACACCCGTGCATGCCCATCACTCACACGCACCCGTGGTGGCTGCCGAATCCGGAGTCTTCTCCCAGGTTTGGCCCTGGGCTCCGTGGTGCAGCGTGACATGCTTTTTAGCCTCGTCTATTTTTGAGGGCCCAGAAGGGGGCTCGGGTGGCAGAGGGGATATTTTTATGGTAGAAGACAGGTGGCGTTGCATACGCTCCAAGAGGGCGGGTACTGTGCACAGCTCCCCCCTCCCCACGGACTGATGGACATTCTGGCAGGAAGTCGCAGCTCCCCCATTAATTAGTGGGGAGGGGGCTCTGCACCACTGTGCCTCGCTGGCCGCCAAAAGCTTGTCAACATTTCCCACGAAGAATGAAAATGTAAATAACTCTCAGATTATTCAATGTCACCAAGGTATGGAAAAAGGTCGCAATGCTGGGTGTCATTTATCTCATTGTGGATTTAAAGAGCTTTTTTTCTATTAAATTTCTTAAAATTAATGTTTTATGTTGCTAAGAGTAATTTGAACAATTATGGGCTCAAAGAATTGATCATTACAGCCCCTGGGATTTAGTGCTCTGGACTGATTCCTTTGAAAACCGCTGATTTATAGTCTTGCTACTCAGGCAGGGAGGCACCCCCCCTTTGGGCCCCCAGCCCCTCCTGTCCATGGCTGGGAGACCAGTCCCAAGATAAGCCCAGGAGACAGCAAGGAGGGAGAAGCGGCAGCAAGGGGGGGGGGGGGGGGGGGGGAGATCCCCAAGGAGAGAGGGGGCTGTCCCTAACTTGGGAGGGTCCTTTGAGATTTCTCCCCTTTGAATTTTATGCTTAAGAGGAAAGAAGTGCTTTTGTGTATTGATCAAAATTATTATTTGCATCATTCGGGTATTTAGCTTTGATAATATAACACAGCTGCTGAATTCAAAGGTTAACAAGCCCAAGTGGGTCCCACATCCCACCAGGGTGCTCCCCACCCGGCCGCTGTGGCCCCAGTGAGCTAGCATAACCCCACCATCCACCGGGGGTCGGGGCGCTGGGACCCCTGCTCTGGGCTGACACCCCTGAGCCTGGGGGCTCCGTCCGGTTGCCCGGCCTCAGGGCGGAAACGGGTCTTCCTTCCCCGGTGACCCCTGCAGGCAGGACAGGAGCGAAGGGGCCCCGCCTTCTCCCCGTTCCTCCTCGCACGCCAGAATCGGGCCGCGGCCCGGGCTCCTCCCGCCCCGGGGTCTGCTGGCCGAGCGCCCGCCTGAGTCCCCGCTTGGATTATCGACGCGCCGCCAGCTGGGGAAAGCGCGGGCGGGAACCGCCAACGGGTGGAGGGCCCCTCGGGGACACTTAGCACTTTATTAACCTGTCAGCCCTAAAAGGTCCCGGGTGGCCGGGGGCGGCCGGACGGGGTGGGGAGGGAACGCCGAGGATTTCTACCCGCTGGCGCTGCCTTGCCTGGCCGCCGGCCCTCTGCCCGGGTGCCTCTCTCGGTCCCCGAATCGACCAAGGCTCAGGGCGGTTTCCCCTCTGGGGGCTCCTGTTGGCCCCTGTAATGGCCTAAACCAACCCCTGCAGACCTCCCCCCACGGGCTGTCAGGCCGCAGCCGGCTGCCCTGGCCTTGGGGCACACCCCTCCCCGCCCAGGACACCGTGCCCTTTTGCCCGCTACACCTTTGCCTCTAGGCTCCTGTCCCTAATGGGCCACCCCCACTCTGCTCAAGTGCCAGCTCTTCCTGGATGTCCTGCCCCCCCAGACGCAGTGGCCCTCAGGCCCTTTCTCCCACCCCACACCTCCTGAGGTGCCTCCCCATTCCCCGACCGGGCGTCCCATTCCAGCGGCCGCCCCAGGTGCCTCTGTCTGTTAGACACCAAGGGGCCAGGCGGACCTGGGGCTGCCGGTGACATTCCTCCGAGGTGGGCAACTTGCTCCAGGTCCTTGGCGAGCGGCCGGAGCTGGTGGGGACTGCTCCGGCCTGGGTGTGTCTGGGGGATGACTTGGCCGAATCTGCACGGGCTGCCTGGTTCGGGGGATGCCTGGAGCATGCCCCCTGCCTCCTGCCCTCTTCCCCCGCAGCATGGGGGCCCCCGGCCTGTCCCCGCCTGCTCTGGGCTCATCTGGAGCCCAGCTCCCCTTGCCCTGCACTAGGGGCCTGGCCTCCCCTACCTCCATGCCCCATCTAATGGAGGGGAGTACATAACAACAGCCAGGCTGCTGCCCTTCAGGGAGCATTCACTGGGGGGTGAGGTGGGCCCCCCAAGTGCATTGACCTGTCTCACCCCTCCCCTTGGAGGGGCTGAGACCCCTGTGCCCTAGGCCTCAAATGTCCTGACCAGGTGAATCCAGTCCGTCCCTTCCCACTGCTGGTGCCAGCCCCGAATTCCAGCCTGGTGCTCCCCCGCATTCCCTGGCCACCCCAGCCTCTGCCGCTCCTAGGGCAGAGCGTGCAGGCACTGGCCTCTCCCGTGGATGGACAGTCTGTTGTGGCTCATCTTCCAGCACTGACAAGTTTGGCCAAGATCCAGGGACACCAGGGGCCCCCCATTCACACCAGGTGCCATCCCTGGCATGGAGCCATCAGCTGCCTATTCGGCTCCCAGCTTTCAAAGAACCACTCCCACCCCAGGCTCACTCTGCCTGCACCTCCAGCCTAACTAAAGACGTGGACCCTCTAATGACTGTAATTGACAAATTTATTAACATCTTGGAAAGAACCGATGGTCAGAGAATAAATAAAGACACAGACACTCATGGAACCAACAGGCAGCCTGGGCTGCAGGTCCAGGGAAAAACCTGGCCTCCCGGCAGCCAGCCTTTGTGTCTGGGGCCTGCTGCAGGAAAGGGCCTGGAGACCACAGCCGCGCAGGCCCCAGGGAGCCCCCACCCAGCCTCCCCTGGGAGCGTCCCACCCTCAGGCAGTTAGAGCCCCGAGGCTGTTTGGCAACAGAAATTGGTGGGCTGGGTGCAGCCAGGGCTTTGAGGTCCTTGGGGCAGCTGTGACGTGGGGAATGGGCACGAAAACTTAGTCTGGGCCGGGAGGGAACCTCTTCTGGGCTTAGAGAGCAGAAGAGCTCCCAGGGAGTCTCCGGCAGGGCAGTGGAATCTAGAAGGAAAGATCTAGAACCAGCTGCCCCAGGGAAGGGGTGAGGAGGCTTCTGGGGAAGGGGGGCTGGCCACAGAGAGGCCCCAGGGAGCCGGGAAGGACACAGGCATAGCCCCCCTGCCCCCTCTCTTCTGGACAGATGACCTAAAGCAGGGGCGGGTGGTAGGGGTGGGGAGGGAGAGAAAGGCAGACATATGGAGCCTGGGAAATGAAAGCACAGTTACTATTTTTTAATTTTAGAAATTAAAGCATCTCCCAGCCTGTGGGGCCCTGGAGCAAAGGCCCAGCCTGGGTGGGTGACATTTCATGTCGGGAAATAGCAGCGAGAGCTCGGTTAATGGGTCAATAAAGGGAGAAATCTGCTTACAAAACAAGGCTTCCTGGGCAGCCACCAGGCGGGTGAGACCTGTGTCCCAGGAGTGGGCATGGACAGGAGCCAGCCAGCCAGTCCCTCTGCCCCAGGGAGGGGCTGTGGGTTGGGCGCTCCACAGAAACGAGCCCTCATTTGACATCCTCATCCCGTCCCCACGGCCACCCGTGGCACCTATTGCCAGCAGAGGTCCAGGGCTTTGGAAAGAGGGACAGCACACCTCCAAGACCCCCAGCGAGGCCGAGCTGCGGCTCACACCCCTCACGTCCGGGCTCGGTGGAGCCGGGGCCTCGGTCAGAACTGAGTGTGCTCCACCTCGTCCAGCCAGGAGGCAGGGCTGGCTGGGAAGTCGGGGTAGCCCCCGCTGCTCCCGGTGGACAGGTCGGAGCTGGGTCCGTTCCCTGCCAGCACTCTTATGGGCGGGGGCCCGCCCGGGGCCCCCGCAGGCACAAGGCCCACACCGGCGTCTGGGTACACCAGGCTGGAGAGGAGGGGCTGGGGGCCAGGGAGGCTCTGCAGGGCAGCTGGAGATGGGGGCACAGCGTAGGGGCTGCCAGGGCGCAGCTCGCGGTACTGATCGGGACCGGCCAGGCCTCCGTGCTCCAGCGGGAAGCTGCCTGGGGCTCCTGAGGGCCGGCCCAAGGCCGGGGTGGGCTCTCCCAGGCTGTTGTAGAGGCCGTTGGCAGGGCCCATTTCGGCCATGGACGGATCATCTGCAATGGCAGTGGAGGGAACTGCTCGGTGCCCATACTCCTCGACCTCTGTCCCAACTCAGCACCTCTCCTGCAGGGGTGACCTGCCCCCATGTCACACAACAGTGCAGCCCGCGTCTCTTGTGCTGTTGCAACTTGTGGGTGCCCTCTGCCCGCCCCCCTCCACCCCTGCGCTGCTCAGCTCAAACTCTCCGGGTGGCTGAGAAATGGCAGGATCCCCATAGGATCATTCCTGGCCAGGAATAGTCGGCCGGGGTCCTGGGTTCCAGGGCGAACACTAAAGGCTGCCATGGGGTGGGGGGGTGGTGGCACAGATACAGCCCCGTTTTTGCAGACAAGTTATTTGAGGCCCAGAGAGGCTGGGAAAGCAACCTAAAGGCACAATGCAGTCAAAACGACCATTTACACCAGCTCTCCCAGAATGGGCACCAGTGGGTGGGGGGTCTCCCTGCTGAGGGGACGAGATAATCAGGTCCCACAGAGGAGGGCAGATCCCCTCCCACTCCAAGCAGCCCAGACTTTTAAATCACTCAGCCCAAAATTCTGCTGCCCACTTTCATAAATATCGTTGCCACGGGCAGGCAGGGAGCCAGAGTGGGGCTGAACCCCGGCCTCCTGAGGAAGCTTGATAAGGGGGCCAATGTGGCGGAGGGACTCTGTCCTCCACCGGGGGTAACAGTGCTCCTGAGCGGCCCACCAGCAGGGCTTGGGGGTGGGGTGCCAGGGTCTACAAATGAATTTTTTAAAGTAAACCTGGAGGCCACTGACTGGGAAGCAGATTTCCAGGCGCCCTGCAGCGACACCCCGACGGCTGCGCCTCTGCCGCCGCCGGGACGCGGGCGCGCCTCGAGAGCCCCGTACCGGTGAAGGAGACCTCGGCGTCGCTGTCCTGCGCCTCGTCCTGGACGCTGTCCTTGTCGGACTTGGCGCCGCCGCGGGCGCGCTTCATGCTGCGGAAGTACTGCCCCCAGCGCTGCCGGCCCGCGTCCTTCTTGAGCCGCTTCTCCTTGGCGCGGCGGTTCTGGAACCACACCTGGGGGGCGGGGCGGGTGAGCGGCGGCCGCGGGCGCGGGGCGGGCGGGCGCGCGGCGGGGCGCTGACCTGCACGACGCGCATGTCCAGGCCCGTCTCGGAGGAGAGCTGCTCGCGCACGTGGCGCGCCGGCTTCGGAGACGTGTTGTAGGCGCTCTTCAGCGTCTCCAGCTGCTTGGCCGTGATGGTCGTGCGCGGCCGCTTGGCCGTGGCCTCGGCCTCTGCACCGCGGGGCAGCGTCAGGCCGGCCTGCCTGCCGCCGCCCAGCGCCCTGTCCCCCTCCGGACGCGGGGACCCCACGGCCCCTGGGACCGGAGCCCAGCCACCGGCCGGCCGTGGGCGCCGGGCGCAGCGGAGACACCGGGGCGGGTGGGCGTCAGGTACCCGGCCTCCGCCGCGGGCACCGCAGCCTCCAGCCTCGGCCCCCCTGGCAGGCGCCCGCCCCTCCCCGCCCGGGGCCTTTGTTCCAAGGGTGCGGGCAGGGCCGGACCTTCCGGGCAAGGGTTTAGGGCGAGGGTGGTAATCCGTGCGACCTGGACCGGCACCCCCGGCGCTCCTGGGCCAGACCCCGAGCCTGGCTTTCCGAGAGCGGGTCCCCAAACCCGGGGCCACCGTCTCCGCTCGGGGCCTGGGGATGGAGGCGCCCCCCCGCCCCCCCCCGCCCCAGCCTGGAGGGAAGGCGCGGGGAGTCGCGCCCCTTAGTGAGTGCCTGGCAGCGGGGCTGGAGGCGAGGACGCCTCCGTGACCCTCGGCCGACCTCAGCCCCCTTCTGCGGCCCGGGCGAGGCAGTGTGGGCCCCGCCGGACAGCGCCCGCGACTGCCGCCCCTCCCGCTGACCTCGCTGCTTGGCCGTCTCGTAGTCCGCCTTGCACACTAGCCGGCTGTCCTCCATGAGGTAGAACTCGTCGCCCGTGGCCAGTTGCCGCTTGCACACGACGCAGGCGAAGCAGTGCAGGTGGTACACGAAGTCCTGGGCGCGGCGCACCACCTGCGTGGGCGGGATGCCCAGCTGGCACGCGGCGCACTTTGTCCCGAAACGCCTGCGGGACGCACAGGGCGCGGCTCAGTGCGGCGCGGGCGGCTCCTTCGCCGCGAGCGGGTCGAGCAGCCGGCAGGGGGGCTCCGGGCGCCTCTGGGAGGGAGGCTGGCTCAGGCCTGGGAGCGGTCACTCTCTCAGCAGCCCCCACAGAGCTGCACAGAGCCTCGGGGGGCCGGCCGTGGCGAGAAGGCTGTGACCCAGAGGCCGGGGAACACAGCGCTTCTCCTGGACTGGGAGGGTGAATCCGGAGGGCAAGGCCGGGCCCCGGGGCAGGTCCCTTAGACCCCAGAAGCCTCAGCCAGGAAAGCACCCCCTCCCCAACACCGAGGACAAAACAGGGCCAAAAGTGAGAGGGAGTGAGTCCAGGAGAGTCCTACGAACTTGGGGTGATCTGTTCGAACGAGATACTCATCGAATTGCTTCGACGATTTACACAGTTACTCAAAACGTTTCCTCCTGCTCTGCCGGCCAGGCCCAGGCACCCAGGGGGAGGAGGCCCCCGGGCGGAAATGCAGGCTTCCGAGGCTCGGGACTCGGTCATTGTGGGGGTCGGGGGAACCTCTCGGGGCAGCTGGGGCTGCTTGCCGGCCGCCCGCCCCTGCCCTGCGAGGCCGCTCACTTGAAGAAGTCGTCCTTGCAGTAGACGCTCTCCCCGCGGCTGAAGCAGCGCTCGGCCAGAGGCGCGTGGCAGTCGCTGCACGTGAGGCACTTGCTGTGCCAGTGGCGGTCCAGAGCCTTCAGGATGAAGCGGTCCAGGATGTGCTGGTCACAGCCGGCACACAGCGGGATCTCTGTGGGCGGAGGAGCCGAGCACCGCTCGGAGCAGGAGCCATAGCAGGCAGTCCCCTTCCTACCAGTCCCCGGATCCAGGGCTGCTCAGGGGGACCCCGCCCCTGCATGCCCTTTTCCTTAGCCAGCGTGAGCTGCTGCCTGGCTCCCCAAGGGCAGGGAGTGCCAGCACCAGCGCGGCTAGAAACCGGAACACCGGACTGGGTTTAGAAACATGCCCGGGAGCAAGAAGGTACCCAGGCCACTTCATTAGGCCAGAGAGCGTCAATTGCCAGCGTCTCCAGTGCACACCGTTGTCTATCACTGAGCTCAAGTGAAAATCAGGCCCCGGGGGCTCTCTACCATCACCTGGGGGCCAGATGCACGTGCGTCGTGCGGCACCCGTCACCCATGGTCCTCATTGCTTCGCACAATTAAGCATCATGGTGGTTAGAGACTCGTGTGAGTATGACCTCCCAGGCTCGTGGCCCTTTCTGCAGGCCAACGAAGTGACGTGTGGTGCCCTCCTGTCTTTAGGCAGCCCGAGGGGTACTCGTGAGCAGACTGGACAGATGGGCCTGCCGTCCTCAGGCCAAGAGCACAGTCACAGTCACCCCAACGCTCACCCCCGCGGGTCTGCTCCTCTGGACCGCAGGCCCCCAGGGGAAGGGGGCTGGGGGACGGCAGGGTGGCCTGAGAGAGCCTCAGGCCCAGGAGGGGCTTCACCGGTCGCTCAGGGAGGGGAGGACTCCCTGTGAATTTAGAAAAGCCTCCGGGCGGGAGCAGAAGCTGCAGCCTGCACGGTCACCGCACCCACCTCACCGTGCCCACCTGGCCTACGCAGACCCTTCCCAATCCGGGCCCGTCCCACACCGGCTGGGAGGACCGGAGAAGGGCTTCCCTTGGCCCCCCAGAGAGAGCCCAGACCGACCGTCCCCCGCAGCCGAGAGAAAGTAGCGAAGGACGCGGCCCCGCGTCGGGCAAAACCGCGGCACCGCATGCAGAGCGCGGGGATCCTCGGCGCGCCCGGGCCCCATCGCAGGCAGCGATGGCACGGCGGCGGGGACACCAGCCTAGAGCTGGTGGCTGGACTGGCCCGCGCAGACCGCATTCAGCACCGTGGTCGGGACAGCGCCTGACGCGCCACTCCCGGAACCCGCGTCGGGCAAAACCAATCCCGTCGCGACCCCGCGCTCCCCGCGAAGCCCTGGCGCCCCGGCCTTACGCTGCATGGCGAGTCCGGCCTCGGCGAGGTCTCAGACCCTCTGCGCCCGCGGGGCCCGGGAGAGCCGCGCGCCGGCTCCCCGCCAGCCCCCCTGAGCCGTCGCGCTCAAGCCCGCCTCCCCTCCCGCCCGCCCCTTCCACCCAGCCCCGCGGCCAGCCCCTCCCAGGGACCGGCGGAAAATAAATAACTAAGTAGGGGGCGGATGAGACCCCACCGTCTGGATGGAACCCCTTTACCAGCTACGCCTCCCCCACCCCTCCCCACCCCTCCAGGGCCGCCTCCGTTGCCATCCTGCGGTCCCGCCGCCCGGAGCCCGCATAGAACGGCCCCGGTTTTCCGGGAGCCAAAGCGCTGGGGACAAGCCTGATGCCACCAGGAAGTTGGGGTCTTTCCCGCAGGACGGTGCTCGGGAACGGCCCACGAGCCGGCAAAGCGGGTGAGTGTGCGTGCCCAGAGGCCAGGGGCTACGGCGCGGTCCAGCTCCACCCTGGCCCCTGCGCCTGACCCCCTTCCGCTGGGAAGGGGCCCTGTGGTGACTGGGCCCCCCGGTTGCCCTCTGCGTCTCTCCCCATCAGGAAGGGGGCTTCCTGAACCAGCTCTGGGCCCCGAGGGCTCCCCATGCAGCCCGCGCCGTGCAGCGCCAGCACCACTCCCCGCGCAGCTCCGGGGGCCCTGACGCCAACTCGCCGCTGCGGCGCCCCGGCGGGCCATGCCCGGGCCCTCGAGCCCATTCCCGCCGCAGTCGCCGGGCTCCTGCGCCTCCGGGTCTCTCCGGGTCCGCGCTCCCCGGTGCAGCCGCTCCGCGCGGGCACCCACCTCGGCGCAGGTCCTCTCTCCGCGCCAGCAGTGCCAACAGCAGGTCGCCGCCTGCCGACTCCCGACCCGGGTCCAGCTCCCCGCGCGCCTCCATGGGTCCCGCCGCCTGGCGCCGCGGCTCTCCGGCCCGAACTTCCCCGGGGTCCGGGGAGGTCACCGTCCGGTGGCCCCCGGCCGGCTTCCGAGCGGATCCCCGCGCTGCTGGGCGCTGAGCCCGCGGGCTGCCGGGGGGCCCGGAGCCTCCAGCGGCGCGGAGGGCGGAGCGGCCTGGGGGCGGGGCCGCGGCGCGGGGCGGGGCCGGGGGTCGCGGAGGCGCCCCGGGGGCGTCCGCCGGCTCTACGCGCCTGTGCGCCGAGACCCGCGGGGCCCGACGCCACCCCGGGTTGCCTGGCCCGAGGGCCGGGACGGGCAGGAGAGGAGCCCGGCCTGGGCTGCCCGCGGGCGCTCTCCCGGGCTCCGCAGCGTCCTGCCCGGCACCGGCCGCGGGCTGAGGACTGGGCTCCGGGGTGAACGCGCGCGGGTGGGGTGGGGGTCCTGGGACCGAGGTCAGGGAGGGAGCCGGATCCTACCGCCGCTGGAAAACGGGAGCTGAGAAGTTTGGTGACATCGTCTGGTCAGCCAGACCCGAGACACAGAGGGTGAGTGTGGGCCCAGAGCCTTAGGCGACTCTGACCCCCGGGCTCTGACAGGCTCCGGGACCCCACCGTCGGAACCGCGCCCAGAGCCAGTACTGGGAAAGGGCGATTCTTGGGAGGGAAGCCCAGTGTCCAGGACTGGACCTGCAGCCAAGACTCCAGGTCAGGGAGGATGGAGCTGGGAAGGTGGGGTGGGGGTTCACCTTCACTCCCCTCCACCCCGGCACCTCAGGCTTGCACAGAATGCAGCCTGGTTTCCCAGCAGCCTGCCCTCGGTCCAAACCAGCGGGCCTGCACGAACTGCCCAGCCTTGAATATGGAGAGATGCACCTACACCAGGGCAGCTTCCCCTGCCCATGGCCAGCGCCAGCCCCCCACAGTCACCCACAGTAAGGCAGCAGCACGGGCTCCTAGCAGCCTGGGTATGGCGAGGGCAGAGGATCCAGGCAGCGGGCAGGAGACTCCTGGAAATGCTGGCAGAGAGCCCACTGGTGTCCCAGGTGCCTCACCTGGAGTCCCACTGCGAGGCCTGTCTTCACCCTGCCTCTTTCTCATGGCCTCCAATCACCTGGTCTGTGTGTTTTAACACGGAGGCCGGCCTGGAAGGACCTGGGCAGGAAAAGCAGAGCCCCTCCCAGCTCAAGCAGACCCCAAGTCTCAGTTCTGGGAAAAGGCCCCGGCAGCCCTGGCGGCACACCTTCGCTTTGCAGTACACGGCCATCCAGAGGGACAGGGCGCACAGGCCAGCAGCCGCGTGAGCGCTCGCTGCTCTGAGGCCTGCCCAGGGGGGCTGCGCGTGGTCTGGCTGGGGGAGGGGCAGGAGGGCAACGGCTGGAGGCGGTGGCGGCCCCACTCGACCAGCATCTGGCTGGCCAGCCAACAACGCTATTATTTCCCAACGTTCGTGGCGATTGAATGGCCCTTGGGGAGGACAGTTCAGGAGGAGACCTGGCCCAGCGGTCAGTGCTGCGCTGTGTTGGGCTGGCTGGGGGATCCGGGCTGGGGGTCTCTGGAGGAACTTGCCCCTCGCTCGGCCGCGTCTCCCCCACCCCCAGCACTGACTGTGAGTTTCCTTCTGCTCCGGGGCCTCCTGCAGCAAACCGGGCCCGCAAGCTGGTCTGGGCCTCCAGTATCATCGCTGGGAGCTCCAGGCCCCTCTGCCAACCATGGGGGTCTGCCGGAATTGTCTCCCCTCACCCCTGTTCCCGGCTCTGTCCCATCCAGGTCTCTCTGGACTTTCCCCGACTGCCGTCTGTGTGCTGGGCCCCTTTCTCCCCTGTGCTTCTGCTACCCTTGCGGTTTTTCCCCTTGGAGACCCTCCTGCCCCACCGGAGGCCACAGCAGGTGCTGGGCTCTTACCCGGAGCTCCCCCGAAGGTGCAGATGGCAGCGGCTGCCGGGGCCCCCGGCTGCCCCAGGTAAAGCGCCAGTTCCGTTTCCAGCCGCATCGTGGTCTCTGGGCCGGGTCAGGGCCTGAGTGGGGCAGCCGGGCTCCTCCCTCCTCCCCAACCCTTGGGAAAGCTGGGAGCTCCTTGCAGCCCGCGGGCGGGAGCCGCCCTCATCTCGGTCCGCACTGAGGCCGAGGCCGAGTCTGGGCTGGGGAGCCTCCGGGCCCTGGCGCTGTCCGCGGTGCTGAAGGAGGCCCTTGCAGCCTCCCACCTCCCCAGACCCCCCTCCCCTGCCAGCCTCCCACCTCCCCAGGTCCTGGCCCCGCCCCCAGGCCCGCCTTTCTAGGACTTCAGTCCCTCCGTCCACCTCTCCGCCTCGCCACCCACGAAGCCTGGGTGGGCAGCTTTGGGTGCTGATCCACTGAGTTCCGGGCCAGCCAGAAGGCTCGGAGATTCGCCGCAAGCGGGCACTCCATCTGCTGTTCCTGCTCATAGCCTTTTGGAGGGCAGAGCCCAGGCCTCCATCCCAGGCCCCCCAAGGCCCTGCCCAGGTGTGGCTCAGAGGCATCCATTGTCGCTACTGGCCTGGAGAACTTCCTGCACTCACCGCCACCCCAACACTCAGCTCCCCCACATCTGAGGCCCAGGCCCCTTTCCCACACACACCTTCAGGTCAGCCAGGGGTGCCCCCAACTGACTACTGGGACTCGAGGACTGAGAGCTCCCAGTCCCTGGGTTTGTACAGGGGTTACCAAAAGGTGAGTCTATCCCAACACCAGCACATAGCCGCAGGCTTGCGGGTGGGGCACACCAAGGGTTGCCTGAGCAAAGCCAAGGAGGGGGTTACTTACCAGCCTCAGCACTGCCCAGCTGGAAAGGTGACTCCAGAGACACCTCCCCACCACAAAACAGGGCAGATATGGGCACGGTACAGGACTCAAAATGAATAGTTCAGACTCTGAGGCAGCAAACTGGTGTGGGTATAAAGCCCTCGGGTACGAGACGCACTCCTGGCTGTCCCCACAGGCCTAGGAAAGCTGCATCCAGTAACAGCTGATGCCTGGAACTGAGTGGCTGGTGGCTAGGGGAGGCTGGGTCCCCCAGCTGGGGGTCTTGAGGGTCCCTTGAACAGGTGTCTCTCTTGTGCATGTTGGATGCTGTCCCATTACCCCAGTCGCTGTCCACATTCCCCTTCTCTCCGGTGTGGAGCGAAGGGTGCTGTCTGGTGGCATCTCGGTCCAGACTGGCCCCAGGAGGGTGATCTATAATTGATTCCCACCTTTCCCTTTCATCCGACCCCTGGGCTGTCTTCCAAAAAGCCTCCAGTTCAATACGAGTTCTGTAGTCTCCGATTTCCAGGTTATGGACTTGGGCAGGGAATGGAGGCCCCCTGTTCTGTGTCTCCACCCAACACCCCAACACCCTTATCATCAATGGTGGGGCTAGTCTGCATTTCAAAAAATTACAGCATTTCAAATATCAGATTTCTTTATTTTTAAAATGTGCACATTATAGTTTAAATACAAAATGTTCACCTTCCTTGTAGGGAGAAATGTCACTGACATTTCTATATCAATTAGCTTCTTTTTAATCAAAATCCTTCCATTAAAAATAAATACACATTTAAATTACCAAACTATTATATTCATTAGTCTCAATACTTACAACTTTAGAAAACAGACCTGAAACCCGCCTAAAGGTAGTGTCCAGTTCTAAGCAGGCCACATGAGGTGAGCAACAGTGTCCACACGTGTACATGAGACACGCTTCCCGTGGCCCCCAGCTGTCCCTGACCACCAACGGTCCACAGAAACCCTGCACATCAGGAAGCCGTAAGCTTGTCTGTCAAGCAGTGGTAACCTCCAGCGCCAACGGTTATGTCCTTGGAGAGCCAGTACTGCTGCACAGGATGGCACACGGCACCTTCATCTGGGGTCACACCGGCTACTCGCTTCAGGAGAAAGACAGTCGACATGAACCAAAAGGCAGTGTAATGAATGGTTCTACATATTTCCCTTGGAATTCTGTGTGTAAAGCTGTCCAGTTTCAAGTTGAGAAGAAACAGTATGAGGTCTTCAATAACCCGGACATACAACTAGCTGTGCAGACAAGATCACGGGTCTTACAACACAGAGCCTTCGATGGGTAAAAGAGCATCAGCACGAAGACACCTCTGGTGACCAGTGGCTTCTGACTGGTGCCCGCCTGCTCCCCTCTGACCCCAGTGCTGCAGGACTCGGCTGTCTGGTTTCCCCAGACCACAACAGTGACATTGATGTTGCAGCAGTCTTACAAATAGACCCCAAGCAGACAGGTATAAACCAGGCAAAGCAGAAAAGCTGTTTACAGCCTCCTGGTGACGCACACACTTGCCGGCGTATGGCTGCAGCTGAGCTCGTGACAGAAACCGGCAGCCATAGAGGGTATCAGTGGGCGCATGCCCAGGCAGAGCGTGTGTGCGTGTGCATGTGCGTGTTTATGTACACCTTCAGAGGCCAATTTACCTCTAAATGTTTTGGGTTTTACAAATAATGTGTTAAAATCATTTAATGGTACAAAATTAATGACCAAAGCCTGGAAGAACGGGCCCTGTGCCAGGATCCTTTGTAAAACAGCTTCAGGCAAATGAAGTTTGGCCTTAAATCTGCACAGAGACCGTGGGTGTCCACCGAAGCCCTGGTTATGAACCTTTGTTAGTTAAAAAGCGGTGCCTGCAGATGCCAGATGGTGAGCCACCCAGTAGACTAAGGGCTCCTTTAGAGACCCCCTGGGAACCCCGTCCCTGGAAAAGCAGATCACCCCTTGGTTTTCTCAGCCCCCCGGCAGGGATGCCCAGAGTGCTTGGTGAGGACAGGCAGGTTGGGACAGTGCTCTTGTCACCAGATTAACAAATGAAGGCGCTACCTCAGCATAAACCAGGCCACCATACTGCCCCTTCTAACCCCGGGTCTCTCCATGAGGCCTCTGTGGCTGTTCCTTGAAATGCAGCAAAGCCACACACTTGTGGGCTCCCCTGCCCCCTGCCCAGGCCCAGTCGGAGTAAAGCTCCACAGGAGCACAGCGCGCAGGAGCCCAGAGGCCCCTTCCTGGTGCGGAGCTGCGGCAGGGCCTGCCTGAGGGGATGTTCTGGGACTTGGGCAGAAACAACCAAGCACCAATGCGTCCCTGAGAACACAAGTGGCTTCAGGGAGCAGTCAGGAAGGGGGTGCATCCGGAGGGTACCTGCTCTGGCTCTGCTCCGGCCTGGCTGCACGATGGCCCTGAAGCACCCTCTTGGGGGAAGGGCTCGATTGTTCTCCGAATCCCAAGCCAAGCCTTGCAGAACAGGATGGGCCATCTAGTAAATGTGAGATGAGAGTGGGGTGGGCAGTACAAATTCTGTGCCTCTGGCCTGGATTCCCACTCCGGGTTTTCGGCCTAGGAGAGTAAACATACAGAAGTCCTTTTGCTATAGGGTCTGTAAAGGCATCTGGGGTTTCCAGGCATGTGGACAGTCCCAGACAGAGGCCAGCCCGTCTCTGAAACAAAACCCAGGGGCCAGAAGCGCCACACAATGTGGAGCCACACCCAACTTGTTTGTAAAACCCCTGATCTTAAATATTAAAGCTGCAGGTGGCACGGTAGGGCTCATTTCCAAAGGCGCACTGAGGTCTCGCTCAGTCCTACACGGCCGGGTAGTGTCTGGCTTTCCATCGTTTGGATCGCACCCGGAAGAAAAAGTACATCGCCATCAGGAACAGGGATGAGGCCACGTAAAGCACGACACAGAGGCTCATGTCCAGGCTGGAGAAGCCCACGCCCAGGAAGGGCACAGCAGCCCCGCTAAGACTCTCGAGCTTCACTGAGGGGCCGGGCCTGGGCGGCCGCACGCTGGCCAGACGGAGACTCCCGGCACCTTGGTCTCTGCGAGGCCTCTCCGGGGAAGTGCGGCCCCTCCCCTGCGTCGCACCTTGGCTGGCCTCGCCCAGGGCCGCAGAGTATGTGTCCACGAGGTTGTCGCTGCTGTAGTGCCGCTTCAGGAACAGGAGCACCTGGCCCTCGTTCCAGCTGTCCAGGCCCTTAACGTCCTCATGGCAGGCTGGGCAGAGGTCGGGAGTGGGCCACGGCACCTTTGGAGACTTGGGGTCCTCACCCAAATGGCCTGGGAGGAAGGAGAGCCACAGTGAAGAGCCAGGCCCCCAGCTGGCCTATACCCTCTCCTCTCCATCCCCACCATGACCTCCCAGTGGGCCCAAAGGACCCTTCTCTGCTCCCCTCAGGTCCACCTGGCTGCACGTGCTGCCTGGTCTCCTGGCGCAGCTCACACCCGCCCTGGGCTCCCACGTACACAGCCAAGGGGAAGAGTCCACCCTTGGCTTGGCCACTCACCCAGCCAGACCTCTCCAATCCGCCCAGTCACCCTGCCCCCAAAACAAGCCAAGTCCTCGCCTCTGCACCTTTGCCCTCAAGGCCCTTGTTCCACGTGCCCCCACCTGTTTGCTCTCCCTCCCTTCCAGGTGCCCCGGAGACCCAGGCCAGTGTGAGGCCCCAGGCACCTGCCTGGACACCCCGGGCAGGCCTCCCCTGGCCTTTTAGGCACACAGGGCTTGTGCAGGTGCCTCCCTGGCTCTAGAAATCCTCCAGGGGTCTCTAGAATATGTCCTGGGATTGAGCCCCATTCACCACAGGAAGTGGGGAACAGCGTGCAGAAGACCAGCAGCCCTGCTCCTGAGGCGGCACCGGCCTCCCACACGTGCAAACATGCTTTCACAGAACAGAGCCACGCTTTGCTGTTCTGACTGGATCTGCTCGTCAGCCCAGTGCCACTCCATTTGAGAAACAAATCTGCCCAGTGTTTTGACACCTGAATAGCGCCCCTGCATGTGGCACCACTGTCTGTGTAACAGGCGAGCAGTTCTGCAGTGGACGTCAGCTTTGCACACTTGTCTGGTAGCTTCCAGAAGTGGAATTTGTTTCCATAAGTATCCACGTTTTTTAGGTTTTTTGATACGTTGAGGTCCAGTGGCCCTTCACAAGGGCGGGTTAGTCATCACTCCGGCCGGCCACACATGAAGCTGTGACTTATGCCTCAGCCAGCAACTTGTGGTGGTTCGTTCGCAGCCGGTAACACATACCGAGCGGGCGAGGCGATGGGAGCAGCCTCACACTGTGGGCAACCCACAAGCGTCTGGGCGTAGCCTGGGGCCTGGCAGTACCCTGGCCATCCTGCATGGTGGCCTGAGTTTCTGAGTTCGCTTTTCTTTCATTAGTGAAGCAGTGACAACCCGCTAGGCCACCCAGCCCCAGGTCTCTGTCCCTCACACAGCCCGCTGTCCCCGCCTGGGACAGACAGCAGCACATGGCACTTTCTGGCTCCCAGCACCCCCAGCATGACTCCCACTGAGCATCTGTCCTGCCTACACAGGCGACGCGTGGCACACGAAACCAGGTGAGGGCTGCAGATGACCTGCAGCCCGGGGGCTGTCCTCCTGGGGCTGTGTCAGTGAAGATCTGGATCTACACAAGCCGAGCCGCCAGGTCCTCGTGTCACTACGCAGAGGCGGGGAGGTGGGTCAGGCCGCGGTTAGGAGGCCAGAGGTGGGGCTAGGGTGGAGGGGACTCATAGTCTCAAGAGGGACACAGTGACACAGACTGTGGACAGCCCTTCCTGCCGTGGGGCAGCAGTGCAGGGGCCTGCACAGATCGGGGTGGGGACAGGCCCTGGCCCGGGCAGACCTGACTGGGGTGTTGTCTGGCTGCCCGAGCAGAGTGTGGAGGGTGGACGGCAGGGCAGCAAAGGGACAGAGGTCCAGCACCCTGAGGGAAGTGGACATGTCTCTGTCCCAGAGCCACAGGGCAGGTGCCTGAACCTGCAGCTACGGCCCCGGACAAAGGCCCCGTGACCGGAGCCCCACAGTCACTCTGTGAGCAAAGAAAAACCCATTTCCTATAGTGCTTCAGTTGTGATATGTTTTATAATACAGTGGATTAAATAAAAACCAGGAGTTCATTGGCATTTTCTGTTCTCTCTATTAAGGTTTTATTTCTTGGTGGAATAATTTTTAAGCCTAATTTTAATGTGCCACTGATTTAGGAACAGTTTGAATTACTTAACTCTGAGATAATGTGTGCCCTATTTAGTTTTTTTAAACAAAACCATTTTGAGGGGTTTGGTTTGTAGTCTGAGAGATTTTAGTGGCACTAAAATTCCCTACTGAAAATTAATTCTGTCCAAGCCTTCTACTGTCAAATTTACCTCGGGGCCTAGGGGATCCCCGAGGCAGGGGGAAAGACGCACATCAATTTCCATCCAGCCCAGTGGCCCCTGCAGTGAGAGAACAATCCGGAAAGCCAGGGATGGAGTGGCCATCATCCTTGACAGTGCCCGGGCCGAGGTCACCAAGGAAACGAGGCCTGATCACGGAAGATGCCCCCGCAGTGGGCCGGGCATGCAGCAGCCCTGTCCCACCCCACGCTGCCCGGGGCACCACGCGCACGCCTCACAGGCCTCGGCTCTGGTTTCTGCTTACCTGCCAGGCGGCTGTTCACCACATTATGTTTCCTCCAAAGCCAGAGAATCGCTTGGTCTGGGGTTTTCACGGAGTCCATGGATTCTTCAGCCATTTCCTCGAAATGGTCACCACACTCCTTACACCCAAAGAAGGTGCGGATGTACCTCCTGATGGCCTGCAGCACTGCCTGGGGGTCGTCTTCAAGGCCTGCAGAGGACACGAACACCGTGCGTGTGGGACAAGTCACCAGAACAGAGCACAGGGCCAGGAAGCAACAGTGTCCACACGTGTACATGAGACACGCTTCCCGTGGCCCCCAGCTGTCCCTGACCACCAACGGTCCACAGAAACCCTGCACATCAGGAAGCCGTAAGCTTGTCTGTCAAGCAGTGGTAACCTCCAGCGCCAACGGTTATGTCCCTGGAGAGCCAGTACTGCTGCACAGGATGGCACACGGCACCTTCATCTGGGGTCACACCGGCTACTCGCTTCAGGAGAAAGACAGTCGACATGAACCAAAAGGCAGTGTAATGAATGGTTCTACATATTTCCCTTGGAATTCTGTGTGTAAAGCTGTCCAGTTTCAAGTTGAGAAGAAACAGTATGAGGTCTTCAATAACCCGGACATACAACTAGCTGTGCAGACAAGATCACGGGTCTTACAACACAGAGCCTTCGATGGGTAAAAGAGCATCAGCACGAAGACACCTCTGGTGACCAGTGGCTTCTGACTGGTGCCCGCCTGCTCCCCTCTGACCCCAGTGCTGCAGGACTCGGCTGTCTGGTTTCCCCAGACCACAACAGTGACATTGATGTTGCAGCAGTCTTACAAATAGACCCCAAGCAGACAGGTATAAACCAGGCAAAGCAGAAAAGCTGTTTACAGCCTCCTGGTGACGCACACACTTGCCGGCGTATGGCTGCAGCTGAGCTCGTGACAGAAACCGGCAGCCATAGAGGGTATCAGTGGGCGCATGCCCAGGCAGAGCGTGTGTGCGTGTGCATGTGCGTGTTTATGTACACCTTCAGAGGCCAATTTACCTCTAAATGTTTTGGGTTTTACAAATAATGTGTTAAAATCATTTAATGGTACAAAATTAATGACCAAAGCCTGGAAGAACGGGCCCTGTGCCAGGATCCTTTGTAAAACAGCTTCAGGCAAATGAAGTTTGGCCTTAAATCTGCACAGAGACCGTGGGTGTCCACCGAAGCCCTGGTTATGAACCTTTGTTAGTTAAAAAGCGGTGCCTGCAGATGCCAGATGGTGAGCCACCCAGTAGACTAAGGGCTCCTTTAGAGACCCCCTGGGAACCCCGTCCCTGGAAAAGCAGATCACCCCTTGGTTTTCTCAGCCCCCCGGCAGGGATGCCCAGAGTGCTTGGTGAGGACAGGCAGGTTGGGACAGTGCTCTTGTCACCAGATTAACAAATGAAGGCGCTACCTCAGCATAAACCAGGCCACCATACTGCCCCTTCTAACCCCGGGTCTCTCCATGAGGCCTCTGTGGCTGTTCCTTGAAATGCAGCAAAGCCACACACTTGTGGGCTCCCCTGCCCCCTGCCCAGGCCCAGTCGGAGTAAAGCTCCACAGGAGCACAGCGCGCAGGAGCCCAGAGGCCCCTTCCTGGTGCGGAGCTGCGGCAGGGCCTGCCTGAGGGGATGTTCTGGGACTTGGGCAGAAACAACCAAGCACCAATGCGTCCCTGAGAACACAAGTGGCTTCAGGGAGCAGTCAGGAAGGGGGTGCATCCGGAGGGTACCTGCTCTGGCTCTGCTCCGGCCTGGCTGCACGATGGCCCTGAAGCACCCTCTTGGGGGAAGGGCTCGATTGTTCTCCGAATCCCAAGCCAAGCCTTGCAGAACAGGATGGGCCATCTAGTAAATGTGAGATGAGAGTGGGGTGGGCAGTACAAATTCTGTGCCTCTGGCCTGGATTCCCACTCCGGGTTTTCGGCCTAGGAGAGTAAACATACAGAAGTCCTTTTGCTATAGGGTCTGTAAAGGCATCTGGGGTTTCCAGGCATGTGGACAGTCCCAGACAGAGGCCAGCCCGTCTCTGAAACAAAACCCAGGGGCCAGAAGCGCCACACAATGTGGAGCCACACCCAACTTGTTTGTAAAACCCCTGATCTTAAATATTAAAGCTGCAGGTGGCACGGTAGGGCTCATTTCCAAAGGCGCACTGAGGTCTCGCTCAGTCCTACACGGCCGGGTAGTGTCTGGCTTTCCATCGTTTGGATCGCACCCGGAAGAAAAAGTACATCGCCATCAGGAACAGGGATGAGGCCACGTAAAGCACGACACAGAGGCTCATGTCCAGGCTGGAGAAGCCCACGCCCAGGAAGGGCACAGCAGCCCCGCTAAGACTCTCGAGCTTCACTGAGGGGCCGGGCCTGGGCGGCCGCACGCTGGCCAGACGGAGACTCCCGGCACCTTGGTCTCTGCGAGGCCTCTCCGGGGAAGTGCGGCCCCTCCCCTGCGTCGCACCTTGGCTGGCCTCGCCCAGGGCCGCAGAGTATGTGTCCACGAGGTTGTCGCTGCTGTAGTGCCGCTTCAGGAACAGGAGCACCTGGCCCTCGTTCCAGCTGTCCAGGCCCTTAACGTCCTCATGGCAGGCTGGGCAGAGGTCGGGAGTGGGCCACGGCACCTTTGGAGACTTGGGGTCCTCACCCAAATGGCCTGGGAGGAAGGAGAGCCACAGTGAAGAGCCAGGCCCCCAGCTGGCCTATACCCTCTCCTCTCCATCCCCACCATGACCTCCCAGTGGGCCCAAAGGACCCTTCTCTGCTCCCCTCAGGTCCACCTGGCTGCACGTGCTGCCTGGTCTCCTGGCGCAGCTCACACCCGCCCTGGGCTCCCACGTACACAGCCAAGGGGAAGAGTCCACCCTTGGCTTGGCCACTCACCCAGCCAGACCTCTCCAATCCGCCCAGTCACCCTGCCCCCAAAACAAGCCAAGTCCTCGCCTCTGCACCTTTGCCCTCAAGGCCCTTGTTCCACGTGCCCCCACCTGTTTGCTCTCCCTCCCTTCCAGGTGCCCCGGAGACCCAGGCCAGTGTGAGGCCCCAGGCACCTGCCTGGACACCCCGGGCAGGCCTCCCCTGGCCTTTTAGGCACACAGGGCTTGTGCAGGTGCCTCCCTGGCTCTAGAAATCCTCCAGGGGTCTCTAGAATATGTCCTGGGATTGAGCCCCATTCACCACAGGAAGTGGGGAACAGCGTGCAGAAGACCAGCAGCCCTGCTCCTGAGGCGGCACCGGCCTCCCACACGTGCAAACATGCTTTCACAGAACAGAGCCACGCTTTGCTGTTCTGACTGGATCTGCTCGTCAGCCCAGTGCCACTCCATTTGAGAAACAAATCTGCCCAGTGTTTTGACACCTGAATAGCGCCCCTGCATGTGGCACCACTGTCTGTGTAACAGGCGAGCAGTTCTGCAGTGGACGTCAGCTTTGCACACTTGTCTGGTAGCTTCCAGAAGTGGAATTTGTTTCCATAAGTATCCACGTTTTTTAGGTTTTTTGATACGTTGAGGTCCAGTGGCCCTTCACAAGGGCGGGTTAGTCATCACTCCGGCCGGCCACACATGAAGCTGTGACTTATGCCTCAGCCAGCAACTTGTGGTGGTTCGTTCGCAGCCGGTAACACATACCGAGCGGGCGAGGCGATGGGAGCAGCCTCACACTGTGGGCAACCCACAAGCGTCTGGGCGTAGCCTGGGGCCTGGCAGTACCCTGGCCATCCTGCATGGTGGCCTGAGTTTCTGAGTTCGCTTTTCTTTCATTAGTGAAGCAGTGACAACCCGCTAGGCCACCCAGCCCCAGGTCTCTGTCCCTCACACAGCCCGCTGTCCCCGCCTGGGACAGACAGCAGCACATGGCACTTTCTGGCTCCCAGCACCCCCAGCATGACTCCCACTGAGCATCTGTCCTGCCTACACAGGCGACGCGTGGCACACGAAACCAGGTGAGGGCTGCAGATGACCTGCAGCCCGGGGGCTGTCCTCCTGGGGCTGTGTCAGTGAAGATCTGGATCTACACAAGCCGAGCCTCCAGGTCCTCGTGTCACTACGCAGAGGCGGGGAGGTGGGTCAGGCCGCGGTTAGGAGGCCAGAGGTGGGGCTAGGGTGGAGGGGACTCATAGTCTCAAGAGGGACACAGTGACACAGACTGTGGACAGCCCTTCCTGCCGTGGGGCAGCAGTGCAGGGGCCTGCACAGATCGGGGTGGGGACAGGCCCTGGCCCGGGCAGACCTGACTGGGGTGTTGTCTGGCTGCCCGAGCAGAGTGTGGAGGGTGGACGGCAGGGCAGCAAAGGGACAGAGGTCCAGCACCCTGAGGGAAGTGGACATGTCTCTGTCCCAGAGCCACAGGGCAGGTGCCTGAACCTGCAGCTACGGCCCCGGACAAAGGCCCCGTGACCGGAGCCCCACAGTCACTCTGTGAGCAAAGAAAAACCCATTTCCTATAGTGCTTCAGTTGTGATATGTTTTATAATACAGTGGATTAAATAAAAACCAGGAGTTCATTGGCATTTTCTGTTCTCTCTATTAAGGTTTTATTTCTTGGTGGAATAATTTTTAAGCCTAATTTTAATGTGCCACTGATTTAGGAACAGTTTGAATTACTTAACTCTGAGATAATGTGTGCCCTATTTAGTTTTTTTAAACAAAACCATTTTGAGGGGTTTGGTTTGTAGTCTGAGAGATTTTAGTGGCACTAAAATTCCCTACTGAAAATTAATTCTGTCCAAGCCTTCTACTGTCAAATTTACCTCGGGGCCTAGGGGATCCCCGAGGCAGGGGGAAAGACGCACATCAATTTCCATCCAGCCCAGTGGCCCCTGCAGTGAGAGAACAATCCGGAAAGCCAGGGATGGAGTGGCCATCATCCTTGACAGTGCCCGGGCCGAGGTCACCAAGGAAACGAGGCCTGATCACGGAAGATGCCCCCGCAGTGGGCCGGGCATGCAGCAGCCCTGTCCCACCCCACGCTGCCCGGGGCACCACGCGCACGCCTCACAGGCCTCGGCTCTGGTTTCTGCTTACCTGCCAGGCGGCTGTTCACCACATTATGTTTCCTCCAAAGCCAGAGAATCGCTTGGTCTGGGGTTTTCACGGAGTCCATGGATTCTTCAGCCATTTCCTCGAAATGGTCACCACACTCCTTACACCCAAAGAAGGTGCGGATGTACCTCCTGATGGCCTGCAGCACTGCCTGGGGGTCGTCTTCAAGGCCTGCAGAGGACACGAACACCGTGCGTGTGGGACAAGTCACCAGAACAGAGCACAGGGCCAGGTCGTGTGCTGACGCGGGGCATGGGACAGCCCGAGGGCCCGCCCCCCTGCGGAGGAAGGAGCCGGCCCCCTTCCAGGGGCCCACCGCAGCCACAGTGGGATACTGACAACGGTGCACCCTGGAGAGCAGGCGGTCGTGGCGCACCGCTGCGGATGTGCTCCAGGCCAGGGAAGGCTCACTGGGACCGCGCCAGGCCCGGGGAATTCTCCAGAGGCACCCAGGCGCCCCGACGCCCAGGAGCTCCCAGAGGGTGGGGCTCGCACCTGGGGACCCCGGGTCTGCTGCCTGGGCCCTCCTGCTCTACCAGCGACACCCACAGGCTGGGACTGGGACAATGGAAGGCGCACATTTAAAATTTGTAGTTGTTTTGCTCTGAAATCCTTGCAAAACACCAGGTCAAGTGTGAATGTGGCCTTTGGAAGTGACCTGGCTTGCTGCCCTGCGCTGTGCAGGACCTCCCATGGGAGGGGCGGCAACGGGCACAGACCGGTCGGCTGCCAGGGCCCCTGGGGAGTGACAGGGCAGGGCAGACTTTGTAAAAGGCTGACCCTCTCTGTGTGAGCAAACCCTCCCAAGGCTGCCAGCTGCCAGACAGCGCACTCCACCCCCGGCCAACTCGTATGAATGCTGCTGTACGGCAGCACAGACGCTGGCGGGCCTCAGGTGCCTGAGGAGAGGCACCGGGCCTGAGGGACATGGTGTCTCAAGGAAGCAGTCTCCCCGCAGCGGAGGGAGCCATCGTCACATGCCACAGGACCCGAGAAGGCCAGCCGGGCTGGCCCCAGAGGGCCATCCACCCAACTGCCCCAGGCCCTGGGCCGGGGAGACAGAAGCAGGTCAAGCGTCAGCCCCTCCGACCCCCAGCAGGCCGTTGTGAGCGACCTCCGTTGACACCGAGTGAGGAGCTCCCCCTTGTGGGGGGCAACGTTCAGCAGGCCCTGAATGCCTGTGTGAGTCAGGAACCTGGGTACCCCGCTCCTCCCCTCAGAGCAGGGCCGAGCTGAGCACCCTGCCTGCGCCTTCCAAGGGCAATGGGTGGCGCCCACATGCACACACGCCAGACCCTGCCGGTGGGGCCCCGGCCTTCGACGCGGCTTGTCTGCTCTCGCCTCGGGCCCACAGCGCTCTGGCCGACATCTGCCGCCCGTCGCCGGCTAATCCTCCCCCCTTCCCCACACACTGCTGCTCGCCCGGGCCACCCTAATCTTTAAAGTGGACAAGAACCATAAACCTCTACCTGGGGGGGATTAGAGGGCATGGCAGGCTTTTTAGTCGATGAGGTTTAAGCATGGGATAAGGAGGGGAAAAACCTTCCAAGACTTAATCCGGGGTCTCAGTCTGACCCAATTCTTTCCCCGTGAGACCTGCTTCTTGGTATTGCTTCAGTTTATGCTGAGAGAGGGGAAGGGTGCGGAAGCCCTTGCTGACGGGGCCGCCAGGACACTGCCTGGACAGCTTCCTGGGTCTCGGTCGCGCGGTCAGGCTGTTGGGGAGCTGGGCGCCCAACCTGCTCTGCTGCCACCGCGCCACCCCCGCATGCTCTTCCTTTCCCCGGCAGGCCTGCCCACTGAGCATGCAGCCCGGCCGCGCCAGGTTCGGCCGTGGGCTCCCAGGGCAGGCCTGCGGTAGAGCAGACAGCGTTCCTGCTGACTTCCCTTTTGGGACAGTCCCAAGATTTCTCCTGAAGAACATGTCATTCTTTTTTCCATAGGTTTCTTAGAAGTCTTTGTAGCTTAAAGTCCATTCTCCCGACACAAGACCCCTGGGAAGACAAGCCTGGCATTACCTTGGGGAGAGCAAGGTGGGCAGAGACCTAGAGCTCTGCCACCTCTCCCAGCAACAGGTGGACTCCGCATCCCCCCCAGGCTGGACGAGCCCGACTGGCCAACAGGGTGCAGCCGAAGTGGTGCCACACACCCTTAGGCCAAGGCCCCGAGAGGGCCACCACGTGGGCAGCTGGCGCTGGCTGTGGGAGTCTGACCTGCTCAGTCTGGGTCAATCCACTCCCACCAACGAGCAGGCCCACCGGCCAAACAGAAGAGCCGCCTGTGGCACCACAGGATGGTGAGAGAACTAAATGGTGGTCACTTTAAGCCATGGTGTTTTGGGTGGGTTTGTTATCAGCTAACGAGGACTATAAAAGAAGCTTATAATCTCAGTGGAAAGAATACAGGTTGTGTGAGTCAAAAGACTCCAATTTTGACTTAATACAAATGTTAGTGAACTTGAGAGACTCAAAAAACAATAGCTAAAGGGCAGCAATCGTCCCCCTGGCTGCCACAGCCTGCTGAACCCGGGAAGCAGGTGCACACCAAGCCCGACACGGGTGAAAGATGCACCGAGTTTTTTGGGGACTTGTGTAAGACCTAAAACATGACAGTTCTGTCACAAGCAGGCCGGGCCTAGTGGCTCCTGTCTGCCGGGCCTAGTGGCTCCTGTCTGCCGAGCAGAACACGGCAGAAGTACAGGTGTCCCACCAAGAAGGGCGCCTCCCTCGCCAGCTTGCTCTGATGGATCCAGCCGCCCAAGTGTGAGCTGCCTGCAGGGAGGCCACAGGGCGACAACCCCAGAGTGGCCTCCGGCCACCAGCCAGCAGGGACCTGAATCCGCGACCCACTGGGAGTGAGTGTGGTGGTGGGTTCTTTTCCAAGTTCCACCTTTAGATGAGACCCCCCGGCCGCCCTGTCCGCAGGCTCGTGAGAGGCCCGGAGCAGAGGCCTGGTCGGGCACAGCGGGTCCCTGGCCCACCAGTGCTGAGAGACAACGAGCGTGTGTTGTTCTAAGCTGCAGAGTTTTCGGGTAACTTGTTAAGCAATGATAACGATGACACCCCTCCAATTATGTCCAACTTATTCTCGTATTTTTAATAGCAAAAAAGAGGTGTGTACCCTGCAGAGGAATTCCTGGACCACATCCTTTCCTGATGACATGTTGCCTTATACACAGCAAAGCGAGCCTCTGCCTGTGCGTCTGACGGCACTTGGCTCCGGTATGGTGGACTTGACGGGGACTAGGTGGTGACAGCTTACCTGTGCCATTCAGCGCTTCTGGGTGGGTCCCGGCTTGAACGGTTAAAGTGTGGAACAGTTTCCAGAGAGAACACGTGTAGCCCCGCAGTTCTGGTTGGCTTCCTTGACATCCAACCCATGTTATGTGATTCATAAGGAATATTCCAGAAATCTGGGGAAAAAAAAAAAAAGACTAAGAGATAATAATAACTGAGTTGCTGAAATTGAGAACATCTGCTGATATCTTCTATCCTGCCTGGGTGGTGGCCACACAGCAAGTACATTTATGAAAACCTGTCAACACGCCACCATGTGTAAATTTAAATTCGATAGCAAACAACCGAGAGAAAAAGGTCTCTATTTCACTAAAGGACTTCTCAAAATGTGGGAACGTGGCCTGTCCTTCTCCAGTTCGTTGGGGGGGGAGAAGAGTTTATCTGTCTATAAATTAGCACCATTAGCATAGAAGACATCCACCTTTCCTTTTGCGACAGAATTAGCTATAATGAAATTCACAGAAGACTAATAAAAAAGCAGCTCAACTGTTTTACTCCTCACCCAGATGAGTAAGGCGCTTCCCCTCATGAGCACCAAGCTGATGGCCTTGCATGGCCCTTACAGCTTGGGAGCCCACTGCCCAGGACCCCCTGTGAGCCATCTGGGCTGCTCTGAGCGCCCCAGCAGATGGCCCAGTGCCAGGCTCAGGGACAGTCGAGTCTTAAGTGTCACACACACAGGGCCTGGAGGACACTGGCTCACTCCAAGTCATTACACCCTGGGTGGCTGCAGACACTGGGCTCCAGGTAAGGGATGCTGGGGCTCTGAGACCCTCACCTGGCCAGTGTGGCTGCTCCAGCAGCACCTCCAGGTTTTTACTGACCCAATTTTTACTAGTTTTTTAGGTGTGAAATTTACAAGAGTCTACGAAAATTTCTTAAAGCCCCAGGGCGACCTATGCTGCTTAGAAACACCTAGTTCCCCTAGGACAGGCTATTACTGAACATTACTGGTGAGCTGCCCTTAGACACAGGACCCAATGGGACAGTGACCGCACCACAGAGCAGAAAGACCATCACATCGTCATGGCAACAGGGGCAAAGTCACGAGGCAAAATGGGGAAAAATGAGGAAGCGCCCCGAGGCTAGTGAGCTGCCACAGCCATGGGCAGCTCCCAATCTCCCACATGCTTCGTCTGGGCCCCTGGCAGGTGGAACAGACACAGGTGAGCTGGAGGACAACCGACCCTGGGAAGGCTGGGCTCACCCGCATCTTGTTGTTGACCAGGTCGAGGACGGCATTGTAGGGGATCCTGTCCAGGGGAAGGCTGGCCAGCCACTCCTGCAGCGTTTCCAACAGCCTCCTGACGGGCGGCCTCCCGGGGAACAGCTGGGCAAGCAGGGAGCCACACTCAGACACGGCTGGGGAAGGAGGCTGCCCTGCGAGGCGCTCTCTGGCTGAGGCCAGCAGGGCTGCCTTGCATGGGCCCACCGGGCCTGCGGGAGGACCATCTCCCATCAATGCAGGGCTTTAACCAGAACACAGGCAGTGCTCTGTGGGTGGGATTCTGGCCAACAGCTGTGCGGGGACCCTGTGCCCGAAACTTGTCTTCAGCCCAGGTAGCCATTGCACAATGAAGGGGACAGGGCCACAATGCACCTTATTTACCACACTGTCAAGGGCCTACTTACTAATCCCACATTCCTTGTGGTAATTTATGATCCTCCCACCTGCCTTCGCTGCCTGTGCGTAACTATTTGGAAAAGGCGGGCACACCACCACGGTTTGTAGGCGACAGTGTGCAAGCTGCTGTCGGCTAAGTGCCCATGTGCGCGATGGCAGCTGAGCAGTCGGTGGCAGCAGGTGGCTGGAAGCCTCTGGCTCGGGCCTGGCGCTGCAGTGGGAGGGCTCACGACAGTGCTAATCAAATGGCTGTGGCAGACACTGCATTTCCAACTCTGTGAGATCTTTTTTTTCTACAGAGGTTACAAAGTCCATTGCCAATTTAACATTTCTTTTTACTAGCTTTTAAGTAAACTTTAGAAAAATTAACAATAATTCATGACCATCCAGGCTTAAAACCTCCCATGTTACATCAATTGAAATAAAGTGTGAAAAGTAAGAGCCGTGCAAGAAGAGGGAAAGCTCATTCCCAGTTTCCTGGAGTCTGGCCCACAAGCGCAGGGGCGGCCCACAGCTGGGCCTGGAGGTGGACAGGCCAGCAGGGGGTCTTCAGGGGCTGGCAGAGCCAGCGATGTCTGAACTCGGAATGGCACGAGAGCATAAACCCCTGTCCAAGCCACTTGTAGTTATCTATTTGGAATGTGTGCATCTCATTACCCCTTTAAACATACTTTCTATCTCCATTTGTTTCAAGTTGTACTGAATAAGCTAACTGACTACACAGAGTGCTGATTACGAGTCACTGTACCAGGACCCTTAGGCTGAGTAAGAGAAGAGAATTCTAGTCAGGCCTCTCTGCCTGTCAGGTAAGACCCAGGAGTTCAGGTCCCACGTCATAACTGGTGGCACCAGAGGCACAGACTTCCATGGCCAGCAGAGGAGCCAGTGGAGGCCAGTGGGAGAACAGGGCTCCCAGGCCCCTGTGACTGGCAGGTGGGGGCCCAGGGGCTGCGCTGTCCTGGAGGTCAGAGAGCAGACCCCTGGACGAGGGCTCAGTGCACCCAGGGAGGAGGGATGGCTGCCTGCTTCCCACTGCTCTGCCCAATGTGACAGTTCTGGGCAAGAACACGACCCGCCAGCCCCTCATCTCCGCACTTCAGCTCACAGACGAGCCACCAACAGGTGGCCACCACTACAGGTGGATATGCCGGTCCACCCGGCCCAGCCCACAGGGCCCAGACAGTGCAGCCAAGGGCAGCCGCAGGGCCCTCCTGATGGCCTCCCTGAGGCCAACCTGCCCCACAGCTCTGCCCCACACATGCCCTTCCCGCCCCACCAGCTGTTGAGGCCAAAGACCGAGGCATCTGGAGCCTTTCCTTCTCCACCACACTCGCCCCTGACCCTGACCTTCAGCCCTCGGCAAGAGCCCCCTTCAGTTCAAACCTGGTCAAGCTCCTCCCTGTGCCCCTGCTCCGGCCCCAGCACCTCGGACGTCCCCCTTTGTGTGACTTGGAGCCCACCACACCCCAGTGCTGAGACTGGAGTGAGGCACAGAGGGCACCTGGTAAACTGTGGCCAAGGGAGCCCAGTGCAGGCTGACCAGCTCACAGAAAAGAGCATGCAGCCTGCCAGGCTGGCCTCGTCCCCACAGATCGGGGCACTGAGCACCGCTCGGGGGAGCTGGGCCTCCAGCTGCACAGGCTGGCTGCCCACGCACCTTGGCGAGGACAGTCACAAAGTCCTTGAGTGTCTTCAGTGCGGCCCCGGCCAGGGACTGGTGGGCGGCCAGCTCCACCCTCAGGAGGTAGTGCAGCCCTGACTCGAGGTCTGCCGTGTACAGTTTCGACCTGGCGGTAAATACAAGGTCAGGTGAGAACAAGCTTTCCTGTATGTGAGCCCCCCTTTCCTCGCTCCCACCCCAGAGGGACCCTGCTCCTTACAGGGAGGCAATACCCACAATTCCCAGACAGCCGGGAGTGACCGGGGGTCTCCCAGTGAAGCCCACCTGCCAACGGCCCTGCTGCCCGGCCTCTCCGCCCGGGGCCCGCACACGCACCCATGGCCTGGGCAGCTCACACCCCAAGGGGCACTTGCCTGTCAAATTCTCTCCAAACCACAACTTCAGGATGTTCCTCTGCATTCGGCTTCCCAGGCAACGAAAGTGACTTTTTCCTCACATCCGGCAGTGACTTCAGATAAGAGGAGAAAAATGACCGGAGAGGCTTCCCACTGCGAGAGAGGGCAGGGCAAGGCAGGTGTCTAAACCCCACGCCTCCCTATCACCAGGGTGGGGACAGGGCTCCCTGGGCACTGCAGGGAAGGTACTTGGCCTCCCAGCCTGCTTGCTCTTTAGGCATTTAGTACAGGCACTGTGGGCAGGGGACAGGGGGGGGGGCAAAGCCTGGGCCTCCCAAGAAGACAAACCCACAGATGGCCAGAGTCACAGGTGGACTAAGGGGGAACATTAGGACCGTTTGTGAAGTGGGCTTGAGCATCTGTCAGTACCAGGCAGCTCTGTAGTTTTTAAGATGCCTGTGAGCCCTCGCCCAGTCTGCCACCTCCGAGCAGGATATCTGGAAATCGGGATGGGGGATGGGGGCAAAGGGCACATCCCGGCTCCTGACACCCTTGGTCAGCTCACCCAGGTGCCGCTGCGGGGCCCCTTGATCAGAGGGGGGAAGTCTGTGGATGTGTACAGGTCACTACTAAGCGCTTCCAATGTAGCCCAGGGGTCATCAAAAGCACCCGGAGCGTATTTTCATTCTCCAAAGAGAAGGCAGCCATGTGTTTTTCATAAAGAAATCAACACTGCTTTTGCTAAGTTACCCAGAGGACACTTTTAATATAAAAGGGGCACTTCTGGGATACTAAATGGCAGCATGTTCAGGGAAGTTCTATTTGCTACAGGCTGGGCCAGGTGCGCCACCGACCGCTCCATCGCTGGGTGCCTCGCCAGATAAGCCTACTCCACGGAGGCCTGCTCACCTGCTCAGCCTGAGCGCCAAGGCCTTTAGGAGCAGAAATGGATCTAAGAACTGCAGCATGGCTGAGGCTTCCGGGTGGGCACCCTGTGTGCCCCAGGCAGGTTTTCCAGAAGCTGAAATCAAAGCCCCGGGCGGGAGGAAACACATCTTGTCCTCCCACTGCTGTGCCCCACGCAGCGAATCACAGACCTGCTGAGCAGACACAGGCCAAGAGGGCTCGGGGCTTGCAGGCAGGAGGTCGGGGCCCAGCGCAGGGCAGGCCTTCTCTGTAAGGAGGCTGGGACCAGGGCAGATGCCATAGGACGCCACACCCTCTCCTCTCCCACCTTTCCTAACTTCTATTCAAGTTGTAACTTCTTAGTGGGGTTTACTTCAGGGGCACACAGGTCCCCGGTGCAGACGCACGTGGCATTTGGAGAGCGGAATGCAGCAGGACTGGTCCACCGCTCACTTGGGAGAAAGGGGGGCTCGATCCCAGTGCTGACATCCAGCCCAGAATGGCTCCCACACTTGGGGGTGCCAGATCCTACCAGGTGTTGCAAACATTCCTTAAGCCAAACTATACTTACACGTTAATTAATCCATGTGACCCATTTGGGTGAATCAAGTAACAGGAAGGAACAGAAGAAACACCGAGTCTGTCCAGAAAGGCCTTATCCGTGTCCAGCACTCTCTTCACCACGATGCTCTCATATGGAATCAGGTCCAAAATCACCTGGACAGTGAGAAAACAGTGTGTCACCTGCTCCTGGACGGCAGCATCTCAGGTGATACGCGAGCAGCTGCTGCAGGAACTGCCTGCTGCGTTTCTTTGCTCTGCGAGCCAGACCATCATCTACATCCCAATTTTTCCTATAGTTTAAGGCAACTGAGACACGTGCCACAGGCAGAAACTGCAGCCTCACTGAGCAATCATCCAGACGGCCAAAGAAAACCTTGTTTGCTGAGCTCGTAAGCCAGCATGTTGCCCACAGACAGACACTCACTGGACAAGTGCATTCGCACCGTCCACATCCGTGGGGCCACACCCCAGCCCTGGGCTTCCCTTGGTTCACACAGCCATCCACGAAGAGGCACGTGCCCTGCCGTGGGGGCTAACAGCATCCCAAACAGCACACGGCTCTGGTCAGCTGACAGGCCGGCAGGCTGCGGGCTGCTTCCACTACTGCTCAGGCTAAGGCTCAGGGATGCGGTCACAGTGGGAAGGACAACCCACAGGGCCCACCCAGGCCCCCAGCACTGTCAGGTGGAGAACCTGCTTCTCTTGCCACCCTTTAGATGGTGCCGGCTCTAGGCACATCCCGAAAGCGGGTGCTTGTCAACTGACTGCAGCAGCCCGGCTGCAGAGCCCTCCTGGGAACAGGCGAGCCTCCTGCCCTGCAGAACAGTCTCTGTGTAGGCTGTGTGCGTGGGGCGGTGTCCACAGTGCAAGCAAGAGACTCAGCTTAGCATGGCAGGGCTCCCTGGAGAACCTTGGGCAGCTGCCCATGGTCCCCAGGCCCCACCCAGAGTCCTGGTCAGCACAGAGAAGGCGGCGTGTTGCCACCCAACTCAAAGCTCCCACTGGGAGGACACCGTCCCCTGCCTTCCTGTCCAGAGCCACAGACTGTGGAAAACAGTCGGAGGCGGGAGCAGAGGAGAAGGCAGGCAGCCCGGTGCTGAGCGCTCGGCTCCCCGGGCGAGTGTCCCCCTCAGCGTCACAGCATTCCCACCACCCGCCCGGGACCTGGGACCTGGATCCAGCTGAGACTGTGCTGAAGGCAAGGCCTCAGGGCACAGCGTGGGAAACGGCCACAGAACACGACTCCACGGCACAGAAATAGAGGACCTCCAGGGAAGACGAGAGGCCTGAAACCGGTCTCCGGGGGCCTCCCCAGGCTGCTTGCCTCACCCTGGGAGGCACAGCCCGCAACAGCCTTCCTGAAAACCGGCGAGCCGCCGAACAATGCCACCTGCAGGCGTGGCATGAACGAGAGCCCACACGTCCAGCAGAAGCCGTTCCCAGCACTGGGGCTGGAAGAGACGCACACACAGTACCTCACGCCCGATGTAGGAGCCATTGCTTTCAACCAGGATCGCCACGTAACAGCCAGCACGGTTGTCAAAGAGGGACAGGAGGTCCCCGGGCCTTTTCAGAGAACAAAGAGGCCGTTAGTGCTTTCAGAAGCAGTGAGCTGGCCGCTGTATGCCAGCACCCGTATCACTTAATGAAAATACGTATTTTACAAAATCACATTTAACTTGTAACATGGCCCTTGCTTAACAGAGCGACGCACCAGGCGGGGCCCAAAGGAGGGCACGCGGGAGGCCTGTCGCTGTCGGTGTGGTTCTGCAGGAAGTCAATCATCGTCTGCCTCACTGTCTGCAGCTCTCTATCGGGCCCTGTGGGAAGTATGCCACGGTCACAGTCATGCTTTCCCCGTGGAGTGCCCACCCCACCCCAGGGCCCGGCAGGGGCACACAGAGCCACTCGGGAGTCCCAGTGAGTGCGTGGTACAGACGGCAGTGAAGTCACAGGGTAGGAGACACAGGGAGATGAATGCAGGGATGAACGGGCCATGGGGACACATGGTGGCAGGGGTGGATAACACAGGGTGGAGACAGGCCAGACCCACAGCATCCCACCCTCACCAGGGTCAGAACAGGCACAATGGCCCCACCTGCAGGCAGACTGGTTGGTTCTGGAGCCCAATCCAGGCCACCAGCGTGGGCCTAGTCATAAACACTCATCAACCGACATGCACATGAGGTTCGTGCACATCTCTAAATATTTTTTTCAGTTAAAAAAGGTGCTTAAAAAAAAGAAGCCAGCATATTTGCCAAGGAAGGCAAAGCACAAAAGAACATTCTTGCTGGAATGATGGATGTTTGAGCCCTTCCAGGAAAGGCAGGTAGGCCTAAGCTGGTGCACATGCGCCATGACCTGGGGGGACAGGCCAAACCGGGGGGGGGGGGAGGAAGGCAAAGCACAAAAGAACATTCTTGCTGGAATGATGGATGTTTGAGCCCTTCCAGGAAAGGCAGGTAGGCCTAAGCTGGTGCACATGCGCCATGACCTGGGGGGACAGGCCAAACCGGGGGGGGGGGGAACAGTCTCCTGAAACCATTTATTTTCACAGGTTTATGAGCTGAATCCAAAAAAGGTAAAATACATGCTTCCGTCCTTACCTTTAAAATTTTCTCCACTTGTAAAGTCCTTTGTAAATGCTTTAAAGTACTAAGAGGAAAAACACACAACAAATAAGAAACAGTCTTACGTGGTGTCTGCATAAATGTTTAATCTTTAAGCAAAGAAATGATCAGCATCTTAAAGAGAGCTTTAGTCCATGTCCTCCATTAAGTGATGAGGAATCACGTTTCTAGGCAGGTCTGTGGACATTAGTGTTTCCTACCAGAATGAGTGGGTGGTTAGCACCCATCAGAATTCTGTTATCCACACTTTCTGACCCAACAGGGCCAGAAGCAGGACAACCTGGCAGGGAAGGAAGTGCAGCAATGACATTAAGTATGCATCCTGACGGCCTGAGAAGGCTCCTGGGGAGGGGCTCTGAGCAGAGGAAATGGTTTCCTGTTACTAAGACACTACTGACAGTGCAAAGACGGCTCCCGCTGAGTGATGGTGCTCGCAGTACCAAGAGCTGACACGCAGGCTGGCACACACATGGGTCTTCCGTAAATCAACACAGCACAAACTACCCCAGGGCAGAAAGGGCAAAAGACGTGGATAGGCATTTCCCAGACAGGGTGGCCCACAGGACCTGAGACGCAAGCCACGCCATTGCTAGCCACCAGCGAATGTGCTCCACCTGCAGCCAGCCTGGGCCAGAGGGGGCCCGTGCCACAGGAGACACATGTGAGTGTTCACAGCAGCTGACGCCTGGACCAGCCTGAGTGTCCAGAAGGAGAGGGGACAGTGTCCATGCTGCCACACACAAGGGGGTGTCATTCGGCCATAGAAACCAACAGACAGCAGCCCCAGCCACAGCGGGGGCTTCAGCAGCTCACCGCTCACACCGCATGCGTGAAGTTACTGTGAGGCAGGAGCCCGTTCAGTGTGGTACAGCCCTGGGCAAGAAAGCAAAGGACAAGTGACACAGGACTCGAGAGAAGGGTCACCCCGGTGAGGCGGTGGCAGCAGGCGGGCTACCAGGCACCCACTCTGCACAGACCGCCCCTCCTGTGGCTCTCCAGACCTTCAGCGGACTCCAGCTTGGCCCTGCCCCCTACTGGAAGAAACGAGCCCCAAACTGTCTGCCAGGCGGGCACCCAGGCCCATGGTCACCCAGCCACGGGGCTGTGGGGCGCTCACAGCAGCCCCAGGCCATCCCCAGCCTCCAAGCAGGCCTCACTCCGCTCTGGGCCTCACTGGGCACGAGTGGGGCTGTGTGTACAGCACACAGCGACCGACACAACCTGGAAGGAGAGGTGACCCTCTGCAAACGGAAATTCCTACTGAGTGTCCAGATGCGTGGCCCAAATGCTACCAACACAGGAATTATATCGTGCGGTCGATTCTACCCAGAACAGGAGGTGCAGAATGTGTCAGGGGCCCACCCAGACAGGCAGCAGGGTGCTCACCCGGAAGGTGGGGTAGAAGTGGACGTCGTAGGCGCGGCACACCTCATGGTTCCTTTCTTCCGCGCAGTCCAGGACGGCGACGCGAATGGCAGCAGCCCAGTCTGAAAAGCAGGGACGCGGCGTTAGTGGGCCCCGGACCACCCACCCCAGGCCCGCATCCCTGCGAGCCTTCAGCCCCGCCCCCCTTCAGCATGAGCTGAGACCTGTGCCCAGGGCATTCCTGTGTCAACTTGGGAAGGGGAACAAGACGTCTGCCTTCCATCACTGAGGATAACACAGCAGCCGATTTCTGCTGAATTGCAACCCGCCACAGCTCCGAGCCACGTCTCCTAATTAAGCAACTTCCTGATAGATGAAAGCGCTGCTGACAAGCGCTGTGGGCAGCGGGTGGGCCTTTTGTCAGGCCACCAAGTAAGCATTTGCCGATTAATCAAGTGAGATCTGCACTGTTCAGCCAGACCATTCCCATGCGCTCAGAGAGTAAGTACCAGTAGCGTCCGACTGCTGGCCTTTCAAGTCAGACACTGGTGTGCCAAAACGCCTGGCAAGTGGGGTCTGATTCCCAGACGCCTCCCACAAACCCTCTGGCACTTGCCATTCCTGGAAGTAGAAAAGGAGCACCTGTAAATACATACTTTCTCCTATCTTTGAAGTTTTCCTATGGAGAATTTACAGCATGAATGAAATGGAGATCCCACTGTCACCCCCACGCGCCCCTCACCTCAGCAGCGGCCACCAGCCCAGGCGGAGCCGCACTTCACCCGAACCCCAGGCAGCTCCAGCGGATACAGATACCCAGTCAGCGCTCAAATCCCCGTCTCATCTTTGCTTCCCTCGTTGGAATCGGGCCCCAGAGGCCCCTTTGGTGCAGCGGGCAGGTGCGGCTTCTCACTGGCTCCCAGGCCCCACCCTCGCTCTCTCACTCAGAGCTCGGGCTGTGTCCCACGGCCGCCCACTGTCTGGATTTTGCTGGCTGCATCCCTGCCCCTGGACTTTCTGTAACTTACGTTCCTAGATCTAGCCTTGCATCCAGTTCTTCTGGGGCAACGACTCCCCAGGCAGTGTACTTCCACCAGGAGGGGGTGGCCAGGGGTCACCTCCCTTCATACGGGCCACGCATGCACACTAATTCCTGAGGGCCACAGCCATGTGGGGCAGCACTTCACCCCCGTTTCACTTACGCAGGTGCTCCTGCACCAGGAACCTCACTCGTGGGGGCCCTGGCATGATCACACAGGGCAGGTCAGTGCCTGACCCACCCTGCTGTCACCAGTTGCAAAGGCATGGTTTCCTAACAGCCTCTGACAGTGGCTAGGGAGGCTCTGTCTTCAGAACACGTGCCCCTTTCCTCTAGGTCACGATTCTGGCTTGTTGCCCTGCAGGGGGACAGCCTAAGGAGGCAGGGCAGACTCGGTGGCCTCTGCAGAGACACAGCGTAGGACCTGCCCGGGCCAGACGTCGGGCTTGTGCTCGCAGATGCCGCCTGGTGGGCAGGGTGGGTCCCGCTCATCTCCTCCGGGGCTAGGTGACTTCTGAGTGGGACCTCACAGCTGTCTGTCCCTGCCATCGACGAGGCTGCCTTGAGTTCCAACACCACAGGTCTAGACGAGTTATCTGATTAAAATCATGTAAGAGGAATTTTCTCTGAGTACTGGCTATAAAATTTCAGAAGTTATATCCACAGCATGCCTAGGAGGAGAGAGAAAATACTGACCTGTCACTAGATGCTATTCAGATATGAAGGCCTATATATTTAGTAATTCAGTAATTCCTATTTTTCCACCTAATATACCACTTTTGCTTGAAATCCTTGTAATTATAAAAAATACTTAGCAATATTAGTGTAAGATGAAGGATAAGTAAAAAACCCAAAGCCATGTTTTTCACAACCAATGACCAAATACTGCTCCATCACCAGCCTCAGGCAACCGGGGCCGGTGCCCCAGGTCGTTTTAAATGGATGGAAAAAATCACAGACCCTCCCGAACCACAGGCCATGTTTTCCTGGAGGCTCAGACTGCAACAGCACCAAGGAGCGGCAGCTAACGCCTCACCCGGCGAGCGCGCAGATGGCCCGAGTGCCAAGGCAGCACAGTGCCAGGGGGGCTCCCGCGTTGGGCCCGGACCCCCTTCCTAGCCGGCCACCCTGGCCCCTCGTCTGTTCACCTCCCAAGCATCTCGTTTTTGCTACGTCTTCCCTGGCTGCCTTCAAACACAGGGTTTGTTTATTGGGAATTTCCATGACACACTTTCATTTCACACTTAAAAAAAAAAGCACCCCACTGCCCAGAACGAGTATGTAAGGAAGTGAAGCACTGTGCCAAGAGAGAGCATGGCACGCACAACATGATCCCGGTGAAATCATCAAGTCAACCCAGAAAGATGGGCAGGAAACACGCAAGAACGTTTGGTTTTCATGGTAGGACTTGGTATTACTTTCTTGCTTTTCAGATCTTTCTTAATGCCTTACAAAGTAAGTTAAAAGATGCTGACCTCCGAGGTCCTTGTGGGGCCTGTGTATGAAGCACGTGCACACTGCTGGCCATGGGCTCCACCTTCCCGGGGTCCCTGGTGTACACAGGCTCTGACAGCAGAGGCAGAACAGACTCCGATTTGCCCCATGCTGTGGGAGAGCGACGCCAGGCAGAATCGAGCCCGCATAACAGCCTCTTCTCCCTGCTGAATTTCACGCGGCCCTGAGAACAGCGGTGCTGCTTTCCCACAGCCTGGTGGGAGCTGCGGCTGGCCTGGTGCGTCAGCCTTGAAACCCGAACGCAGCCACCATGCCTCTGCCTCCCAGTCAGCTTGGGTGACATCCCCACCACCACATGCCCGGCTCTGAGTGCACACAGGATGGAGTCTGTGGCCTGGGCAGCAGCTGGCAGCTGGGGCTTCCAACCTCCACCAAACCCACCATGCCACTGATTTTTCGCACGGCTCTGACTTTCCAGGGAGACTTCACATTCTTGGAGGCCCAAACATCTGTCGATTGTTCCCATCTATTGTTATTTCACAACAAGAGGGTAAACATCCAAATCAGGATTTAATATGACTCCTGAAATCCTAACCCAGGTGGAGGGGCCTTGGAGGTGCCCAGTCCTCAGCAAGGCACAGGTGTCTGGAGGCACGATCGCGTTGTGTGTATCCTGCAGACCTGCCGACAGACGGCCCTCCCTGTGTACTGCCGTGGGCAGGTCTGGGTGCATGCCTACCCCAGGACCTTTGCACCCACCCTTCCGTGGGAAGAACACTCTTCTGACCTATTCTTGGCTGCTTTCTTCATCGATTTCAACAGAAATGTTGCTTCCTCAGACAGGCCCGCCTTGATCCCCTGCTGGGGCAGTTACAATAGGAGAGAAGCTCCCCACCAGTCTTGTCTCCAAATTAAAATGAATTTACAAAGCAATTTACAGAGCTTTCTTACCAAGCTGCCTACCAGGGAGCTGCCTGGTGACACTGCAAGACAGCAGGGTGAGGAGTCTATGTGAGGGTCAGAGCCAGCCTGCGGCTCCCAGACTGCTCTACCGTGGCAGGCAGGCGCGCATGTGTCAGCAACAGTGGCTGCTTAACCAGCACTGTTACCAGCGCTGAGTCTCACCAGAACATCGTCCCTCAACTGCTCCCTCCCAAGTAATCTGTCCTCACATTCAGGGTGCCTCCACAGCTGCAGCACAGACCCCCACTCCCCTAGACCACTGCACGGCCACAGCGGTATAAACCACCACTTCATTAAACTTTTTCAAGGCATCTATGTGACATTTTGCCATCTTCAACACAGAGAAAATCAATTCTTTGAAAAAGCACATTATCCCAGTATTCCCAGTGAGGTTTATGCCCTCTCTCCATTCAACTGTGGGCCCTGCCTCACAGGGCACAGGCCAGGAACCACTCTGCTGGCATGGAGTCCACGCTCACAGGACAGAATGCGGGGACGCCGAGGGGGCTCTCACTTCCCAGTCAGAGCCTCATCTGCCGTTCACCGCCACAGAGCCGCCTTCTCTGCGAGGACGGCTGACATGGCCCCCCGCTCCGTGTTCAGGACTCAGTGTTTAAAAGCACTGGGTCTACCTTGCCCCATTCAAGTTTTGCGCCCAAGCCTGTGCTGTGACTGTCAGTTCCCACTGTATGGGTGAGGAAACGGAGCTCAACGTCCCCGTGGACAAGCGAGGGGGTCCTGGTCTCTGCCCCTCACCCTGCCGCCAGGCTTCCCCAGCCCGGAGCAGTCATCCTTTGTCTCCCAGATGGTGACCAGGAAAGCACAGGATGCCCTTCCCTCGTGCCCCTCACACCACACTACCTCGAGCCCTGCTTTCTAGCTGATCACCATGTGGGGCAGCCACACATCACCAGCTAAGTGCTGACACGGTGCCATCCTGGGGAGTGACGGGGTGGCGGGAAACTCGTTTTGGCCCGAGACACCTGGGTGGAGGAGCAGGAGCTGGGGGAGGCAGGCCCAGTGGGCTTTGCCGGGGTGGCCTCCAGCTACCTGGAGGCTCTGCTGGGAGGCGTCACCACGACCCACCGTGTCTTCGCCTGGGCAGGCAGCAGCAAGCTGGGACTGGGCCACCACTCCGAATGGACCCCAGCAGCTCCCCATGGTCTTGGGAGCAAGGCTGGTCTCCACTAGCCACACATGCAGCTGAACCCCGCCCCTGGTCCTCCAGCCCCACCGCACCAGCCACACTGCACACTGCACTTCTGCTTGGGCCATAGCCTGGCATCTCCTGCCTCTGCCTGCTTGGGCCACAGCCTGGCATCTCCTGACTCTGCCTGGACCCCGCCCCCATCCCCTTTATGAGCTCAACCCCGTTTGCCCTCCAGGTCTCCACCTAAATGCTGCTGCCTCTGGGAGTCTCCTGCCTGCTAGTCCAGCTCAGCACCCACGGAGCAAACAGGCAGGGTCGGATGGAGTAAGGACCCCCGTCTGGGAGGTAGTGTCCGGCCCATATCCTGCTCTGTCACTTACCAGGTTTTGAGAATCTGGGCAACTTATCAGTCTGTGTCTCAGCTACCCACCTGTAAACGGAGATGCCAGATGACATCTCCCTAAGGGTGCCGGGAGGACCAGGTGGGCTAGAAGGCTGAAAGTGTCTGCTGCTGG